CCCCCCTTTGAAAGGGGGGGGGGCTTCGGAAGCTACCCCCCCCCTCCCTTTTCGTGGCCGGAAAGGGGGGGGCTTCCAAGCTACCCCCCCTCCCTCCTTTTAATGGAGCTGGGGTGAGCCACCCCCCCCTTTGAAAGGGGGGGGGGGGCCCCTCTCCCTCCCTTGGTGCAAAAGGGGGGGGGGGCTTGAAGCCCCCCCCCCCTTCCCCCCTTTGGCCGCCCAGCTCCCGGAGCCATCGCCCTCCCTTTCGCGTCCATTTATTCCCGCCCCTCTCCCTCCTCCTCTTCTTCCTTTTGCCTCCTCCTCTTCCTCGGTCTCCTCATCCTCCTCATAGTCATCATCGTCATCATCATCATCATCATCATCATCATCATCATCATCATCATCATCATCATCATCATCATCATCATCATCATCATCATCATCATCATCGTACTCCCCCGCGGGTCCTTCCGTTCCTTCCTCCTCCCTCCTCCTCTCTCCTCCTGCTCCTCCTCCTCACTCCTCCTCCTCCTCATCATCATCATCAATCATCATCATCACTCATCATCATCCCCTCATCCTCTTTCCTCCTCCTCTTCCCTCTCCTCGTGATTCCTTCCTCCCCTAGCCCTCCTCCCCTCCCCTCCTCCTCCTCCTCCTCCTCCTCCTCCTCCTCCTCATCTCCTCCTCCTCTCCTCCCCTCCTCCTTCCTCCTCATCCTCCTCCTCCTCCTCCTCCTCCTCCTCCTCCTCCTCCTCCTCCCTCTTCTCCTCCGCCTCCTCTTCCTCCTCCTCCTCCTCCTCCTCCTCCTCCTCCTCCTCCTCCTCCCCCTCCGCCTCCCCCATCCTCCGCCTCCTCCTCCCCCAGCTGGCCGCCGTCTTACACGAACACTGCCAAACCCGACGGGCTGGCGTTTTCCGAATTACACTTCGTGCAACTTTCGGGGGGGATAGTATTTTCCCCAACCCTCCTTGGTTGGGTATTCGTTTTGAATGGAGCAGTGTGGTCTCCACTTCCTCCTTCCCGTCCCGTCTCCCTTTTGCCTCCTCCTGTCTTGCTTGCGGGGGCTGCGATCTGTGAAACTGTCGCCACTTTCGAGGCTTGCTGGGGGGCCCAGCACAGTGACGCCACGGGCGGACCCAAATTAGACCTCGCCATCCCTGGGGGGCTGCGATCTGTGAAACTGTCGCCACTTTCGAGGCCTGCTGGGGGGCCCAGCACAGTGACGCCACGGCGGACCCAAATTAGACCTCGCCATCCCTGGGGGGCTGCGATCTGTGAAACTGTCGCCACTTTCGAGGCCTGCTGGGGGGCCCAGCACAGTGACGCCACGGGCGGACCCAAATTAGACCTCGCCATCCCTGGGGGGCTGCGATCTGTGAAACTGTCGCCACTTTCGAGGCCTGCTGGGGGGCCCAGCACAGTGAGGGCCACGGGCGGACCAAATTAGACCTCGCCATCCCTGGGGGGCTGCGATCTGTGAAACTGTCGCCATTTTCGAGGCCTGCTGGGGGGCCCAGCACAGTGAGGGCCACGGGCGGACCCAAATTAGACCTCGCCATCCCTGGGGGGCTGCGATCTGTGAAACTGTCGCCACTTTCGAGGCCCTGCTGGGGGGCCCAGCACAGCGAGGGCCACGGGCGGACCCAAATTAGACCCCGCCATCCCTGGGGAGCTGCGATCTGTGAAACTGTCGCCACTTTCGAGGCCTGCTGTGGTTCCAGCACAGTGACGCCACGGGCGGACCCAAATTAGACCTCGCCATCCCTGGGGGGCTGCGATCTGTGAAACTGTCGACACTTTCGAGGCCTGCTGGGGGGGCCAGCACAGTGACGCCACGGGCGGACCCAAATTAGACCTCGCCATCCCTGGGGGGCTGCGATCTGTGAAACTGTCGCCACTTTCGAGGCCTGCTGGGGGGGCTCAGCACAGTGACGCCACGCGCGGACGAAAGTTAGACCTCGCCATCCCTGGGAGGCTGCGATCTGTAAAACTGTCGCCACTTTCGAGGCCTGCTGGGAGGCCCAGCACAGTGACGCCACGCGCGGACGAAAGTTAGACCTCGCCATCCCTGGGGGGCTGCGATCTGAGATCCCCGCTTTCGAAGTGGCCAGGGTTGCTCAGGGATTGCAACTAATCAGCTTTATCTAGTCCTTGTCCTGAAGCCAGTTTCCTGCGAGTCTCCCGAATTCCGTCTGCAGACATGTGTAACCCTTGCTCCGTCATCGCCCCCCTTATAAAGTGTCCTAAACTATTTGCGCCCCGCGTTTGCGCAGGGGTTGGGTACGTCGCCAGGGTAGTTGTTCGTTCCCGGGCGTTCGCACGGAACGAGTTGAATGATACACTTGCGTTGCAATCGATTGCAATCCATTGGATTGCAAACGATTCGATTGCAATCCATTGGATTGCAATCGATTGGATTGCAATTGGTTGAATTGCAATCGATTCAATCGATTGGATTGCAGGGGAGGGACAGGACGGAAGGGAGGGAGGGGAGGAGAGGGAGGGGAGGGAGGAGATGGAACGAAGGGTGTGGAGGGAGGGGAGGGAGCGGAGGGAGGTGGGGAGGGGGATTGCAGTGGAATGGAGTGCAATCGATTGCAAGCGATTCGATTGGGATTTTCGATCGTCGATCGTTGATCGTCGATCGTCCATCCTCGATCGTGGATTGTTCATTTTGGATCGTCGGCGAAAGGGAGGGCGGAGGCTCCGGGGGCTGGGCGGCCAAAGGGGGGAAGGGGGGGGGGCTTCCAAGCCCCCCCCCCCTTTGGCACAAAGGGGGGGAGGGGGGGGGGAGCTTCCAGCAGGGCGGCTCCAAGGGAGGGGGGTGGTAGCTTAAGCCCCCCTCCCGGGGGTAGGGGGGGGTAGCTTCCGGGGCGGCCAAAGGGGGGTGGGGGGTGGGTAGCTTCCAAGCCCCCCCCCCCTTTGCACGAAAGGGGGGGAGGGGGGGGGTAGCTTCCAGCAGGGCGGCGCCAAGGGAGGGGGGGGTGGCTTAAGCACCCCCCCCCCCTTTGGAAAGGGGGGGAGGGGGGGGGGTAGCTTCCGGGGAGGGCCCAAGGGGGGAGGGGGGGGTAGCTGTAAGCCCCCCCCCCCCTTGCAAAAAAAAGGGGGGGAGGGGGGGGGTGCTTCCAACAAGGGCGGCTCAAGGGAGGGGGGGGGTAGCTTAAGCCTAGCCCCCCCTCCCCTTTGCTCGGGCCCTGCGGGCGCGCTCTCTCTCATATGGCCTAATTACGTAACTTTGGGTCGGTTGGGCTTATTGCCCCCTTGACCCGTTTTCCCCTCCGACAGGGAAGGGGCTGAGAGGTCCGGGGGCCCACGCCTCGATGACCCTCCCCAGACAAGACGATCCCACACTGCGCTTTCGTTTTCGGCCAGTCCGGGGGAAAAGCAGCAGCGCGCAAGGCACGTCAGATAGCACAAGCAGGTTTGGTAGTTGGCCCGATAGGTAGGTCCCATCGTGTCTTTCATTCACATTTTTTTGCCGTCCCCGGTCAATTTACCTCCCCATCCTCCTCCTCCTCGCTCGCTCGCTCGCTCGCTCGGACTAAACGCTGTTCAGATGCGGAGCCTATTTTAGGGAAGTGGGAGGCAGAGAACAGAGAACAAAAAACGGAGGTCACCCACCTTGGGGCAGCCCAGTCAGTGTCGAAGCTGTCGTGACATGAGGAATCCCATCCAGCACGCGCACCGCGGACAACAGAGGAGGAAGGCGCACACATTACGTAGGGCACAAAAGGGGTACAGCGGCCTCCAGAACTTACCCCATTCCGAAGCACACCAGACCTCATCCACATATCTCCATTCACGTCCGAGCTCACTCCTCTTCCTCCTCCTCCTCCTCCTCCTCCTCGTCCCTCTCCTCCTCCATTTCCTCCTCCTCATCCTCCTCCTTCTCATTATCTAAGCGTTATCCTTCTTCACGTCATAGTGCTCATCTTCGTCCTCGCCAGGTCAGACCCTGGCTTGGCAGAGCTGGGGGCAAAACCTGCAGAGAGGTGCAGCACGGCCTCAGAGAGCTTCTGGATGCGTCCAGAGACCTCCGGAAGCGTCCAGATGCGGGACGCCCCGAAAATCCTCCCAGAAGAATTTTCATCCTCCAAGGCCCCCGAAGGCTCCTGTAGCCTCCGACCAGCCCCATGGCCCAAAGGCCCCCGAACTCTTCCGGTCGGTGCGCGATTTCAAATCGTGACGCACGTCGATCGATCGTGGCCGCGGCGGTCGATCGATTCTCGGTCATCGTCGCCGCCGTCGTCGCCGTCGACACCGCGACAGTCGTCGTCCTTGTCGTCGCTAGCGTCATCGTTACCGTCGTCTTCATTGCCGTCGTCTGTGCCAGTGGACGCTCGCAGGGAGGTCCTCCGCGCTATGGTGTGGACGGGCCGGGGGTCCCCTCTCCCCCTCTCTCCCTGCTCCCTCTTCTTGATGATCGAGAACCGGTCATGGAGTTTTCGTACGGATAAGGAGAAGCGCAATGACCAGGAGGCGGCCGAAGAGAAGGTCGAGGAGGAGGAGGAGGAGGAGGATCAGGATTAGCAGGAAGGTAGCATGGGAGACAGAAACGTGGGGCGAAGAATGGTGCACCTTTCCAGTACCTCTTCGGGCCGGGGTGGCAGCTGAGGGGGGCCTCTGGGGCCCCTCGAGGCCTAAGTTCCTGCATCCTGGTTGCCCCTACGTATAACTGCCCAACCATTGACGTTCGCCCGAGAGGGAGTGATGAGGGGTGCGTTGGAGGAGGAGGAGGAGGCGGAGGAGGAGCAGGAGGAGGAGGAGGAGGATCAGCAGCAGCAGGAGGAGGAGCAGGAGGAGCAGGAGGAGGAGGAGGAGGAGGAGGAGGAGGAGGAGGAGGAGCAGGAGCAGGAGCAGGAGGAGGAGGAGGAGGAGGAGGAGGAGGAGGAGGAGGAGGAGGCATAGTGTAGGGCAGTGCCGCTCCGACGGTGCCAATGCCCGCAGCGTCAGCGTCATGAGGAGTGCAGCAGGATGAGGACGAGGTCGGGGCTGCCAGGGGCCGAGCTCCTAAGGATATGGCAGGGCCCGGGGACTACGACCTCCCCGCCATGGTCGCCTTCGACCAGATCGACCGCCTGGGGCCCCGCATCGGCGGCGGCGCGGCGAGGGCGCAGCAGCCGTGGGAGTCACCGGGGGCGCGGTCCTCGGACTTCGAGGCTCGATCGGAAAGCAACGTGGAAGGAAGTAAGCCGTGGTGTGGGGGGGGGAGGGAGGTAAGCCGTGGTGTGGAGGTGGCGCACCCTAACTGCACCTCCTCGGGGCCGAGGTGGCAGCTTGGGGGCCTCTTTCGGGCCGCTCTCTTGCATCAAGGCTGCCCCCCCCCCCACCCCACATGTGTTTGCTGCACCCACCCACCCGTTGGCTTCTGCGGCGAGGCCCCGGGGCCCGGCTCGTACGAGACCGGGCTGAGGCGGAACGCCAGGATGTTGCAGCCCGACGCGAATTTCTCATCGGGCACGGTCCTGGCGCACCAGAAGGATTCCGGGATGTAGAGTGAGTGACGGGGGGAGGAGGGGAGGGAGGGGTGGACGGAGGAGTGGAGAGGAGGAGGAGGAGGAGGAGGAGGAGGAGGAGGAGGAGGAGGAGGAGAAAGAGGAGAAGGAGGAGGAGGAGGAGAGGAGGAGGCGGAGGAGGAGGAGGAGGAGGAGGAGGAGGAGGAGCAGGGAGTGGGGAAGAGGGGTGAGGCAGGAGGGGGGAGGGTGGAACGGACGAGGGAGGAGTGAAGGAGCGGGCGAGGGGAAGTGGGGAAGCGGGCGGGGAGGAGGGAGGGAGAAGGAGGAATGAGTCGAGCCGCACGAGCTCTCACGGGTGTCGCACGAGCTCTCACGGGTGTCACCTGGGGGGTTGGCGGAGCAGGTCGATGAGGCAACGTGGTAGGGGTAATTATCCAGTATACGGTTGTCATGGGCGCGTCGCGCATGTAGGGTTGGTGTGGTTGGTCTGTGAGCGAAGTTGCGTTCCAAATTTCTTGTGTTGCTAATGTTTCACATCGCATGCGATTGGGTCGATCAGTTTGCGAACCATCTTGTGACAGTTTACGCAATTGCTTTCGCTCTGGCTGGTGGTTCGAGAGTCGGCCAAGAGGAGGAGTGAGCACACAGGAGCCTCCGTCGCCAGTTCGGCTCGAGCTTCGCTCACAAGAGAGACCTCGGTTTAGGCCAGGAAGATCTCACGCTCTTTTCCGCTCGTTTTCCGACGGCTGCGGGCCGCCCGTGGTCTTCGCGGTTCCCGCGCGTTTGGGTTGGTCGCACTGCCGCCGCAGAGGGCTGGAGCCTTGTCCTTGAGCTCGCCGGCGGCGCGCACGTGAGTCGGGTATAGCCAGGACCCCGGGTAAGGGGACCCGGTTAGTGGTAGGGCCCTGGGGCCCCACAATTGGCGAGGAGGAGGAGGAAGAGGAGGAGGGGAGGAGGAGGAGGAGAGAGGAGGAGGCGGAGGAGGAGGGGAGGAGGAGGAGAGGAGGAGGAGGAGGAGGAGGGGAGGAGGAGGAGGAGGAGGAGGAGGAGGAGGGAGGAGGAAGAGGAGGAGGGAGGAGGAGGAGGAGGAGGAGGAACCAGGCTTGCCGTAGCTGGTGTTTTTCGGGTGACGGCAGTTCCGGTCAGTAGAACGGGGCGGGGGGGGCGCCCCCGGGTACCCATCACTAAGCCAGGTCCCACTAAACCCAGTTCTGCCTCGGAAGGCGGCGAGAGAGCCCGCGGGGCCCAGCGGAGGTCCAGGGGGTCCAGGACCGAGTCTCTGTGAGCTGCAGCAGCGGGGTCGACAGGCCGGAGGCCACGCGGCAGGACGCCAGAGATGGTGAGGACCACGCCGTAAAGATGGTGGCCCGGTTCGGCCAGAGGCCCTCGCGCGCCAGCACTGCGATTGCTCGGGCACGGCGCGGTGCGCCAGGGGCCGGGGCTTCGCCCTGACGAACGCCACTGTCAGGCGGCACCTCCAGCAGGCGAGGTGGGGCGAGATGGGTGACCAGGAGGACAGTGCCCTTTGGCATCGCTCGGACGTGTGCATTTTTTCTCGGCGAGGGCCCTCGAGGACCATCCTGGACCCTCGAGCCAAAAATTAGCCTGGCGAAGGACCCAACCATATGCAGTTGTGAATGCCGCAATTGTGCTGGGTGGTGGCGGACGCATGCGGGCGGTGCCACTGGGACCTTCGGTGGAGCTCCCTATGGGGCCACGAAGCGCTGTACTGGGTGGGTGAGACGCGGTCAGCAAGGGCTGTGCTGCGTGGTGGCGGACGCATGCGAGCGGTGCCACTGGGACCTTCGGTGGAGCTCCCTATGGGGCCACGAAACGCTGTACTGGGTGGGTGAAACGCAGGCAGGGAGCAAGGGCTGTGCAGGGTGGTGGCGGACGCATGCGGGCGGTGCCGCTGGGACCTTTGGTGGAGCTCCCTATAGGGCTACGAAGCGCTGTTCTGGGTGGGTGAAGCGCAGGGAACAAGGGCTGTGCTGGGTGGTGGCGGACGCAAGCGGGCAGTGCCACTGGGACCTTTGGTGGAGCCCCCTATGGGGCCACGAAACGTGCGAGGGGTGTGCCAGAATGGGGTGTGGAACCGCATGCCAGCGCAGCCACTGGGGCCTTCGGTGGAGCTCCCTATGGAGCCACGAAACGTGTGAGGGGTGTGCCGAAATGGGGGGTGGAACCGCATGCGAGCGCAGCCACTGCGGCGTTCGGTGGAGCTCCCTATGGGGCCACGAGACGTGTGAAGGGCGTGCCGAAAAAGGGTGTGGAACCGCATGCGAGCGCAGCCACTGGGGCCTTCGGTGGAGCTCTCTATGGGGCCACGAACCGTGTGAGGGGTGTGCCGAAATGGGGGGGGGAACCACATGCGAGCGCAGCCACTGGGGCGTTCGGTGGAGCTCCCCATGGAGCCACCCACGAAGCGTGTGAGGGGTGTGCCGAAATGGGGGGTGGAACCGCATGCGAACGCAGCCACTGGGGCCTTCGGTGGAGCTCCCTATGGGGCCACGAAACGTGTGAGGGGTGTGCCGAAATGGGGGGTGGAACCGCATGCGAACGCAGCCACTGGGGCCTTCGGTGGAGCTCCCCCTGGGGCCACGAAACGTGTGAGGGGTGTGCCGAAATGGGGGGTGGAACCGCATGCGCGCAGCCACGCAGCCACGGGGGCACGAAACGTGTGAGGGTGCCGAAATGGGGGGTGGAACGCATGCCAGGGCCTTCGTGGAGTCCCTATGGGGCCACGAAACGTGTGAGGGGTGTGCCGAAATGGGGGGTGGAACCGCATGCGAACGCAGCCACTGGGGCCTTCGGTGGAGCTCCCCCTGGGGCCACGAAACGTGTGAGGGGTGTGCCGAAATGGGGAGTGGAACCGCATGCGAACGCAGTCACTGGGGCCTTCGGTGGAGCTCCCTATGGGGCCACGAAACGTGTGAGGGGTGTGCCGAAATGGGGGGGTGGAACGCAACCACTGGGGCCTTCGGTGGAGCTCCCTATGGGGCCACGAAACGTGTGAGGGGTGTGCCGAAATGGGGGGTGGAACCGCATGCGAACGCAGCCACTGGGGCCTTCGGTGGAGCTCCCTATGGGGCCACGAAACGTGTGAGGGGTGTGCCGAAATGGGGGGTGGAACCGCATGCGAACGCAGCCACTGGGGCCTTCGGTGGAGCTCCCCCTGGGGCCACGAAACGTGTGAGGGGTGTGCCGAAATGGGGAGTGGAACCGCATGCGAACGCAGCCACTGGGGCCTTCGCTGGAGCTCCACCTGGGGCCACGAAACGTGTGAGGGGTGTGCCGAAATGGGGGGTGGAACTGCATGCGAACGCAGCCATTGGGGCCTTCGCTGGAGCTCCCTATGGGGCCACGAAACGTGTGAGGGGTGTGCCGAAATGGGGGGTGGAACCGCATGCGAACGCAGCCACTGGGGCCTTCGGTGGAGCTCCCTATGGGGCCACGAAACGTGTGAGGGGTGTGCCGAAATGGGGGGTGGAACCGCATGCGAACGCAGCCACTGGGGCCTTCGCTGGAGCTCCCTATGGGGCCACGAAACGTGTGAGGGGTGTGCCAGAATGGGTGTGGGAGGGGGAGGAGGGGGGAGGAGGGAGGAAGGAAGGAGGCGGGAACGCGGGGCACCGTCTCTTCAAAACGAGGACCCAACACCACAGGATGGTTGGGAAAAGAACGCGCACGAAACCTAAAAAAATGCACGGGAGATGGACGTTCGAGCGATGGCGAGGCACAGGTCCAGGGGTCCAGGACCGAATTTGTGGGCTGCAGGAGCGGGGTCGACAGGCTGGAGGGTGACGCCCGCGGCTTCCCGAGAAGATAGTCCGCTTCGCGTTGGCCTTGCCAGGCTGGGGTCGGGCTGATGCCGAAGCCGCCTGGGGAAACACAGGGGAACATGCTTCGCGGCGCCGGGAAGCTTCTGACGGGGGGAGTGATGCTTGAAGATTTAGGAGTTGGGTTTATGGATGATCGCCCCCAGGCCTTGCGCCAGCGATGCTAAGAACGGCCAGATTGATCCCAGGATTGGCCCAGCCCCGGCGAAGACAAACGTGATTACCCTTCGAATGCAGGAAGATGTCTGCGGAGTCCCGTACGTCTGACCAGCGAGTCTACAGCAGTAATTATGGTCATCGTCGGCTTTGACAGCGACGTTTGATCCATTGTGGAGCCAGGTGGAAAGAGAGATGATGAGAACGTCCGCGCGATGTGAGACAGCGAGCTCGAGGCCAATCACCCCAAGTTTCGTCGTTGTCGTTGCCGCAGTGGTGAGGAGCGCCGCGCCCCTCCTTATCCCACCTCCCCCCTCCCCCTAAAAATACACTATGATCCACCCAGGGGAGGGAGGGAGGGTGATGATCATGCATCGAGTTGTTCTGGCGTCTTTATTCCTTCTTGGACCCCTGGAGGCTTCCAGGGACCTCAGGAGACTTCAGGAGAACCCCCATCGCATCGTATTGAACCGAGCACAGCATCGAAAAGGCCAGCAGAAACGTGGAAGGAGGGAGGATTGCCACAACCACCACCACCACCACCACCTAGATGGGGGGCACAGGTGAGTCCACGGGCAGTGGTGTATATTTTTGGGAGTCTTGCCCATGAAGCTGGATATACCAAGACATCCGACGGCTTGGCAAAATCTAGACGTGTCCTTATGTTCACCATCTGGGATCTCCAGGAGGCCAGTTTCGGGCCGCTTCACATCGAGCTGTTAGAAGATGTTTGGGCATACGATTTGGTGCTTGGGTGAGAGTTGGATGCGCGGTGCGAACGTGAACAGAGGACTTGAGCCGGCCACATGTGTACCCAACGAGTTATGCGCATTTTCAAATGTGAGTCATACCATGCGTGTCTCCAGCTTCCTTGTTTGCCTTTGCTTAGCCGTGCCTCCGCCCCCGCCTCCTCGCACAGGAGGTCGCTGTGGACAGAATCGGTCCCGGACCTGGCCAGTACAGCCCGCAGGGGGAATTGGAGAAGAGCTTGAAGCAGGCCGCGGGGGTATCCTGGACGCAGAGGGAGGAGTGGAAAATGCGGAGTGGGAGGAGGGAGTGGAGCGAGAGACGAAGGGTAAGGGGGGTCCAGAGGGAGTTAGGGAGGGAGGGAGCCGAGGGGAGTGAGGAAGGAATAGGTATGCGAGAGGCTGGGCGGGGAGCTCATGCTCCTCATTGATTACCCTCCTTCCCTCCGCGCCCTCTTTTCCATCAGCCTTTTTCCGCTTGGGTTCGAAGGCTGCTGCACCGCCCGAGCTTGCACCCTGCACTTCACGCGGCTCGAAGTGGCGCGCGAGCGCAGGCCACGTGGTACGAGGGGGGCAGGGCTCACCCGAATTGGCGTTTTTCGCCAGCTTCACACGCCAATGCGGGGACAACCTGCGCGACTCGTCCGAACGAGACTCTTCGGCAGCCGCGCGCCACTCCTGGGGACCTCCGCGTGAGGCCGCTGGGGACCTCCAGAGAACGCTGACCAGCGCTCGCGTGGCGCCGACGGGGATCCAGCCAGGCACCCCGTGGCCGGCCCGACCCGGGGTCTGGGAGCTCTGTTCCACGGGCGGCGAGCGTACGCATAGCCGCGCACTCCCTCGTGGTCTGTACTTTGGGGCGCGATCCCGCGGATACGCCGTCGCACGGAGACCTTCCGCGCGGGTCCTCCACGAGCGAGCGCCCCGCAGCCGCGGGGTCGCGGGGGTGAGGCCCGCGAGGCCGCGGTCACGGAGTTATGCTCTTCGTCCAAGACGCGTGGAGCCGCTTCCCCTGCTCCCCCCTCCGCTGGCCTGGGCTTGTCAAGCAGAGGCGAAGCGTCCTGGCTCGCCTATAGCCCTACCAAGCAATGCTCTAAGAACCTTTTGTGGTCTCCACGAGATGTTATTAGAGCATTTCTGGCGGAGCCTGTCTTGTTTTATCACATCGGGTTTATGTATGTTCTAAGAACATTGTTTTCGTTCTTAGAACATTTTTGGGTTCTGAGAACATTTCGAGGACTATAGGAATGCCGGAACGGTCGGTCCTTGCTCAAGTTTGGGAGCAACGGCGCGGCTGGCCGGGCTCCGCGACGGGGCCCTGCGCTGGCCGACCCAGGTCGGTGTTGACCCGGCCAGTGCGGCCGGGGCTTGGGAGGCCTCGTGCGGGGAGGATGGCGCGTCGCTGGTGCGGCGCCCGAAGGTGTGCCGGCGAGAGGGGCGGGGCACAGGGAGGCACCGCTGCGACCGCGACGAGGTCGGTAGACGGCTGTCTCTCCCTGTCCGCTCCCCCATCCCCGCCTGCCCCGGCCCCGCGGGCTGCGGCGTGGCCCTCAGGCTCAGTTCGAAACCGAGGGCGATCAGCCGATGCGAAGCTGAGATTTCTCGATAGCCACAACTTTGGGAGCCGATCTCCCTGCATCCCAGTTGACGCGGACGAGTTCGCGTCCCCCCCTGGGGCCCGAACGTGTCTGCGTTCGCTCACCGCCTCCCGAGGCCCCGGGGGAGCGGTTCCCGAAGCTGCGGACGTCCACCACCCAGGGTATCGGAGCCGAGAGCCGTGGACGCTGCGCGGCGGAGAGGCCGGGCGTTCGTGTGCCCGGGGCCTGGCTCTCTGCCGCGCCACGAGCGCAGTGTTCGGGCGTGCGGGAGGCGGGCCGCCCGCGAGCTCGCCTTTCAGGGCGCAGCCTGGCCCTGCTGGGCCAGGGCCCGGCGGCACGCGCTGGTCGCCCCCGGGGGGCGGCGACTCGGGCGCGAGGAGGTCTTCGCGTGGCGCGGTCCAGGTCGTCGGGATGCACCCGTGGCAGTCGTCGGCGCGCAGGCGCTGGCGGGGCAGGAGCCTGGGCGGCGACAGCACCGCACTGGAGGCCCGTCGAACCACTGCAGAGGCGCACCGAGGCGAACGACGACGACGACGACAACGAAGGCGGCACGCGGACGCGGTGGGCCATAACTCGCGAGCTGCCGTGTTGAGAGCGGGGAGGGCCGGCTGGCGAGACGTGCGCCAGGGGCCCTTGCAGTTGCGTCAGTGCCAGGGCGGGCGCAAGGCAGCGATTGTGGGATACTTTCAGTTTCGTGTAACCGATCCCCATCCCCAGAGGGCCATGGTTTCTCAGCCCCACCACCCAACCACCCCAGTTGGGGATAGGCCCCTCGAAACCCGACGGGGACAGCCTGTATCCCCACTTGGGGGGGTAAGTCTGCCAGTGGGGCCCAGGCTACGCCAGTGGTGATAGGGATCGGTTCAACGATGTTCGTACTTCTCGGGTGATGCATTCGTGGATGGCAGCGCGTCCGACATGGAGGACGACGCACTGCGCTGGGCTGGCTGGCGCACTGCCGCTTTCCACGCGAGCGGCCTTCTGGGCTGCGCCCCCCGAGCAGGCGCCGCGGCAGGACGCCAGAGATGGTGAGGACCACGCCGTAAAGATGGTGGCCCGGTTCGGCCAGAGGCCCTCGCGCGCCAGCACTGCGATTGCTCGGGCACGGCGCGGTGCGCCAGGGGCCGGGGCTTCGCCCTGACGAACGCCACTGTGAGGCGGCACCTCCAGCAGGCGAGGTGGGGCGAGATGGGTGACCAGGAGGGCAGTACCCTTTGGCATCGCTCGGACGTGTGCATTTTTTCTCGGCGAGAACCATCGAGGACCATCCTGGACCGTCGAGCAAAAAAAACACGCACGCAACCGAACATTGCACGGGAAATGGACGTCCGAGCGATGGCGAGACCCTGAGGCCGAGATAGTGGTGCTCATTGGCTGCGAGAGGGCAACTGGCAACGCCGCGACAGACCGACCCGCCAGGCGAGGAGCAATGCTGCGGCAGGCGCCAGAGGAAATGCGGCTGCTCGGCGCGCCATGCAGGCACCTGGCGCGACGGCCCTGCCGCCTCAGCCCCCGACGCAGCTGAAGGTGAGCGAAGTGCGGCTGCTGTGTCCGTCCCCGACCTCGAACCAGCGGGCCTCGACCTTCTGAGCCCTCGTCTTACGCGAGCGCCACGCCGAGGCCAGAGGCGAAGAGCACCGCTTGACGGCAGCGAGCTTGCGCAACGTGGTCTTAGGACGGCCTTGTCGCCACGGCTTCGGAGTTGCCTCGATGTCAACTCCGAAATCCAGTGCTCCCTGGTGCGGTCAGTGCCGCCATCAGTTCCGCGTGCCAAGCAGGGAACGCCTACCTCAGCGCACGAATGTCGCAAGCGTTCCAGTTCGACACCGCTCGTCGGTGTATAGTAGCAGCTCCAGATACGCATGCCATCGCACCTCTTATTGCCGATGGTCCTGGTCAAGAGCCAGAATCTGCGTCCAAGCACGTGCCGAAGCCCGTAAACGGTTCGCGCCTGATGTCGTTCTCAATTATGTGGCATGTCTTTTGGATTTCTGGAGCAGGGAATGTTTTTGACCGCACCACCTTGCCCTCGTGCGTCCTATCGGATAATTATGTCTTCCAGATCTGGTCGCGATGCTGTGCAGCAGTATCTTGTTTTCGTTCTGCTCGTGTGACTGCCCCGGGCTCTTCCATCCGATCGGGGAAACGTAAGACTCGAGTAAGCCGGAGCTCGGGTTTGCCGACGCGTTTGACGAGCGCGTCCTGGAGTTTGACGGCCCGGTTTTCGTGGGATGTCTGCGCCGGGAGCCCGCGTCGAATGTCAGACGGGGCCTCGCCGTTTTCATGATGGCCCCGACAGGCGAACCCCAGTCCCCTGCACCCGAGTCTTACGTCTCCCCGAGCCGAGCTCACGCCGATTTCCGACCGCCTCGTTCCTTCCTCCCCCTCACTCCCACATTCGTTCCCCTCCCTTCCTCCTTCTCCCTCCTCCCTCCTCCCTCCTTCCTTCCCCTGCTCCCTCCCTTCTCACTCCCACATTCGTTCCCCTCCCTCCCGCCTTCTCCCTCACTCCCACATTCGTTCCCCCCCCTCCCTTCCTCTTCCTCCCCTTCCTTCCTCCTTCGCCCTTGACTCCGACCGCCTCGCTCCCTCCTCCCCCTCGCTTGGCCACCACCCCCACACACGGCCGGAGCGCGAAGAGCCCTGCGGCTCGCGCGCCGCAGGCCGGGGCCGAAGCATCGGCGGGCCTCCGGAGGCCGAGCGGCCGGGGGGAGCGGAGCGACGAGCAGGTTGCTGTCGGGGGTGGACAGGACACACAGGGGCCTCGGCGGACAAACACACACAGTTTGGCGCCAAAACGCCTCCTGAGGATCATCGATCTTCGGATGTCCCTATAGGGCTCAGAGGCTCGGGCTGGCGGAGGACCTCCGGCGCGGTTGGTTCGAGCCGCCGGAGGTTTGTAAAGTAACATAGCTCGGGGGTGGACAGAGCCCCCAACAGTGACACGCCGATCAGTGCATTGTCCGTGTTCGGTTCTCGAGAGGGCACCGCGGCCGTTCTTTTTTCCAGGCCTGCGCCCGCCGGGTTGGGGCCTCGGGTCGTGTTCACGAAGCCACGTGTTACTAAAGGGAGGTCTGCCCATCCCCGATTGCTCATCCGTGGGAACGTGCGAATCTCAGGAGGGAAAGAAACACACAGACACAATTAATAGCCGATTCTTCCAGGAAGATATGGGGAAATATGGGAAGCCCCTTCAGAGTCATCCTTTCGCGCAGCACGAAGCGCGAGCTGGAGCGGCCCAGCCCCACGGCAGCGACGCTCGCACTGCCGCCGTTGTTGGGGGGAGGGGGGCCTCCCCGCAGGCCCAGGCGCGGGGTGCGAATGCGGACAACCGCTTCAGCTCCACGTCCGCGCGGGTCGGCTGGAACCGGGACGTCAGCCAGCCGTACAAGGACCCCCACCCGCGGCGGGCCGCGTGGTCCGAGGAGGGGGGCAGGGAGAGGGGGTGGTTGGTGGAGGAAAGAAGGGGGGGGGGCGGACGGGCAGAGACTGGGAAGAAGGAAGAGAAAGGGAAAGACGGTGGGGAAGGGGAAAGGGAAGGGGGACAGGGTGGGCAGGGGAGGAGAGGAAGGGGTGGCAGGGAAAGAGAACGGGGAGAGGGAAGGGAAGGGGAGGGTTAGCGCCCGCCGTGGGCTGTGAATCGGTGCTGCGGGGACAGCGACCAGAGAGCAACCGGGAAAGGAGAGGCTCTCCTCGGTTGAATTCGCTCAGCCTCCGCACCCGGGCTCCCCAGGAGGCAACTCGAGAGAGTTGTGGGGGAGGCGCCCTCCCCAAGCGGCCTCCCGCTCAGAGGAGCCGGCCAGGAAACGAGGGACCGCAAGATTCGCAAGAAGGTGATTGCCGCGGAAAGCGCACAGATGCTGAGAGGGAGCACTAAGTGCATTCTCCCCTTGGTCATCCAGCCTGTCCATGCGAGGCATACCGCGGTCTGCCTGCGTAGCAGGCGGCGACTGCCAGATCCGCTCCCGTCCCGAGCCCCTGCCAGCCGCACCCATCCCGCCGCCCCAGCCCCAGGAGGCTCAGGCCAACACAGAGGGCCGGAGCCAGCGGCAGAAAAGCGTGGGGCGGAGAAGCAAAACGCCTGCCTTCCATAGCCCCGTGGATCCCGCACCGCCGCCACCACCCCCACCCACCCCAAACCCCAGCCCGCGCTCATCCGCCTTGCGGCAAGCTGGAACGAGCCGGAAGACTTGGGTTGGGCGAAGGAGGGACGGAAGGGGGGGGCGGGATTGGAGGGAGGCGCAAGCATCGCCTCGCCTCACTTGACCGTGCTAGTTGGCAGTAGGGACCTCGTCGATCCCCTGCCAGAGAAGCTGGGGCACGTTGGGAAATCGCCAGAGGGAAACAACAGAAGCAGGAGACATCAGGACCTCCATGCTCCCCCGCTCTACAATCCCGAGGCAAGCAGCGGCGAGCTCCGCCGGGACGGGAGGTCCAGGGCCACCGACAGCAGCGACAGAGGCCCGAGCCGACAGGAGGAGGCCGAGAGCTCCAGGGCGCAGCCCGACGGAAGAGGGGAAGACCCTTCAGAGCGGGGGTGTCCGCGAGCTCCAGGGGAGAAAGGAAACGAAAGGGGCGGGAAGGCATGCGGAGGGAGAGGGCGGAGGGAGACGACACGGAGAAGCGGGCGCACCCGGCCCGGCTGCCAGGAGGGTCCCTGATGGGACTTCCGCCGCCGTGCCTTGGCGGAGGCCTGCTCGCCATGCATCCCGAGCCCCGCAGACACCCAGGACGTGAGTCAGGCTCTCGCCCGGGGGCACAGAGGCCTCACATATTTTCGGGCCAGACGAAAGGGGGGGATAGGGAAAAGGGGGGTTACGAAATCTGCTGCGTGCAGCTGGTTCGGCCCCGCCGTCGGGCCCATTCCTCGATACATGGGCGCCTCCCGGCGCCGGGAGGCGCCGGGAAAATCAGCTGCGTGAGCTGATTCTCAACCCCCCCCTTTGCTATCCCCCCCTTTCGCCCGGCCCGATACTACACGCTTCTGCTGCTTCGCCCACGAGCGCCTGCGACCACGGCGCGTGAGGATCGGCAGGCCTGCCCACACGCACAGGGCACCAGACCTACGACAGCGACCTCCGCCGAGGCAGACGCCCGCATGTGGCCGAGAGCTCCGGGGCGACCGGCGGCGGCCGAGGCAACGCTAGGACGGCCGCGGGGGGGCCGAGAGAGCCCCGGAGTGACCGACGGCGACAGCCCTTCGCTCCACATCCAGGGCACCAGGCCCGCGGCAGCGACCTCCGCCGAGGCAGACAGCTCCGGGGCGACAGACGTCGGCCGAGAGAACGCGAGGACTGGGACGCAGAAGGACATATTAGAACGGCCAGACCTAGGACAGAAAAACGGAGGGGGGGGGAATTAGGGAGGGCGGAGGAGGGACAGGGGAGGACGAGGGGAGCAGGGAGGAGGGGGGGGAAAGCGCTAGGATTCCCTGGGGGTGATCTTCGCACAGCTGTTCGCTGGCCTCAGCCGCCCCGGAGGAGAAGGTTGCGCTAGGATGTCCCGAAGGTCATCTTCGCACTACACAAGGACAAAATCAGCGTGGCGACGGCAGCGGCGGCCCCAGCAGCAGGCAGCGACGACGGCAGCAGTGGCGGCAGCGGACACAACTGGGACGCGACGAAGACGACGACCAAGACAACGACGGAGGCGACGAGGACAGCAACGGCAGAGGCAACAGCGGCAGGTGACTCACTCGGCGTCAGAAACTCCTGAGCGGCCCGAGGCGACCTCACGGCACCGCGGCCGATGCGGTGGACAATCGAGGCGGCGTTGCAGCTGCCAAGACAAATTCTTGCTCCACAAAAGACGGAGCGGGTTAAACAGATGGAAGCTCTGCTCGAGCGCCCATGGGCAGCAGCGAACTACCGCTGAATCACATGGGGCCCGCCCATGGTGGTGTCCATGCGCTTGTCCATGAGGTCCGAGTTCACTTTCCCGGACATGGTGTCCACCTCAGAGCGCTTGACAACCACCAGCGAGCGCTTGCCGTACGGCACTGAGGTGTACAAATGCCACCAGGCCGCCAGGGCTCATGTCTGCGGCCAGCCAGACCCAGCCCATCCGTCGTCCACCACCTTCTGGGTCCGCCCTTGATGACGTGCTTGCCTAGCTTCATCTGCTCCTTGAGGCTCGCAATGCCGATGGCGATGTCGAGGGAGGGGTTAGGGAAAGAGAACTGGGAGGCATCTCATCTGCTCCTTAATGGGGAGGGAGAAGAGAAATGAGAAGGAGGGGTAGGTGGGCAAGGGAAGAGCAGAAGAGTGGGATGGGGGAATGTGGAGGGGGGAGGGGCAAGCTAGGTGCGCTCGCGTCATATTTGACGTCCTACCCTCCCCTCCCATCACTTCCCAGGGCGTAGGTCTCCACTCTATTCGCACAATCGGATGTCGTAGCATGGCATAGCATTACACGGCATAGCCTGGTGTTGAAGATCAACGCGTAGCGTGACTGACATAGCATGGCGTGGCGACGCCCCAAAGTGGGGGCTTCCGCGGCCCCCCAAATCAACGAATCGACACCGAATGTGTAATCACTTCTGATGGTTTCTTCGGGAGGCCATTTTTTAGATGTTGGGGCCATTTGGAAGGACCGAAAACCCATGCCGTGGCATGTGTGACATAATGACGCCAGCGCTGCAGCAGGAGCACGATTCGGAACGCGCGGAAGCGCGGAAATGAGGCCAGTGTGCAGCGGGAGCACGATTCGGAACGAGCGGTTGCCCGAAAATGAGGCCAGCGCTTCAGCCAGAGCAGCATTTTGAAAACAAGCCCAAGCGCGGAATCGCGGAAATGAGGACGCGTAGCTTGACATAGCATGGCGTGACGACGCCCCAAAGTGGGGGGGCTTCTGCGGCCCCAAAAATCAACGAATCGGCACCGAGTGTGTAATCACTCCCGATGTTTTTTTTTAGGGGGGGGGGGCATGTTTTACACTTGGAGGCCATTCTGAAGGACCGAAAATCATACCGTGGCATGGCGCTGGAAATAATGACGCCAGCGCTGCAGCGGGAGCACGATTCGGAACGAGCGGAAGCGCAGAAATGAGGCCAGCGCTTCAGCGGGAGCACGATTCGGAACGAGCGGTAGCCCGAATATGAGGTCAGCGCTTCAGCGAGAGCAGCATATTGTAATAACAGAGCGAAAACCTATTTCCAGTACGCGGAGGGGGGCCGCACAATCCCCGCACGCCACCAGGCGAGAGGAGAGCAGCATTCTTTTCTTAAACTTGCAGAGGGAGAAGGGCAACAGGGGGGCGGCGGGGAAGGGGAGGGAAGGGAAGGGAGAGTATGGGGAGCGGGACGGGAAGGGGCGGGAGGGGCACTGGGCGGCCATGGGGGGGGGATGCGAGCGAAGGAGATGGGGATGAATGTCGTATGCCCTTACGCCGGCCGTTCGCTGCGCCTCCGCAGTGCCCCTGGCAGGCAGGCGGGCAGCCGTCGAGCACGGCACTTCGGCAGTCGCCACCGTGCCGGGCAGGTTTGCAGGAGGGGCGGAGCACCATGCGAGCGCAGCAGGCCGGCGCCGACGAGGCCGAGGCCCTGAGGCCGAAGCGGGGGTGGGGGAAAGAGGGCAAGGTGGAGAGCCCCGAATCATCAGGGGTAACTCGGGTCAGGGTTAACTCGGGTTCGTTTTTCGGGAATCCGAACCCGAGTTACCCTGGGCCCGAGTTACCCCGGATAATTCGGGCGTCCAGAGCCCCACATCATCAGGGGTAACTCGGGTCAGGGCTAACTCGGGTTCGTTTTTCGGGAATCCGAACCCGAGTTACCCCGGACCCGAGTTACCCCGGATAACTCGGGCGCCCAAAAGGTGGAGAGGGGGATGGCGAGGGCGGGAGTAGGAGGGAGCGTGGAGGGGGAGAGAGCGAAACGGGAGGGGCCGAGAGGGGAGATCAAGGGGACGCCGAGGGGGGAAAGCAAGGGGACTTCGGGGGGGGTCCCCTGCCCCTTTCTCCCCCCTGTCCGCTTCCTGTCGTTCGCGGGGAAGAGAGATGCGGAAGAGGAGGGGGCGGAGGGTGAGAAGGAGTACGAGGAGAAAGGGGGATGATGACCAGTAGCAGCAGCATGAGGAGGATGAGGAAACGGAGAAGCAATAGGAGGAGTGGGAGTGTCTGAGAAGCAGGTGGAGGAGGAGCAGGAGCAGGAGCACGAAAAGGAGAGGACCACAGGAAGCCCAGGATGCACAAACGAATCTGCAACGTACTTTCCCATCCCAAGTCCTCTCCGCACGAGTCCTTATAGTAAGTTCTCATCACCGCGAGAAGGGCCCCCGTTATATGCGACCGCTCCATATGCAGACCATTCAGGGAAAATCTGCGCCAGGAAAAGAAACTACCCTGCATCCCTCTAGCTGTAGGGCATAGGGAATTTAGGACCAGACAGATCGAGGAACTGTTCAGCGAGAGGCCCGTTTTCAAGAGGAGCTGGCCTCCATCTGTGCAGTTGTTGCTCTGCTTTACGTATTCTGCAACATATTTCACGAAGTCTGAGTGGAACCAGTCTGAAGAGGAATTGCTCCGTTTGTGTAGTTGCTCCGCCAGCTCATGATTTGTTTGGCCATGATTTGCCAGAACGCCTTCTGCGACAGCCAGGTTTTGAGCAGACGCCGCCTTCCCTCGTTGTAACTGTAGGAAGCTTTTATGACGGGCGTGCACGGCGATAAGGGGCGAGTCAAATGTTGTCAAAGGTTCTCCCTGCATTGGTGTGACTGTGGGAACGGATGAGCGCTCTCTCAGACGAGAGACTCGTAACATTTTGGAAATGATCCGCCTTCCGTCCCCGTTGTTGCTGGAGTTCTTGAAGATGGATGTCCGTGGCGCCCAGGCGAGAGCCCTATGGTGATAACATTTGCTTTGCATTCTCGTAGTTGCTGGAAGATCTGAGAGGGCAGAGTTGCGCGGCGCTGAGGGCGAGAGCCACAATTTGACACCGATACGGTCTCTACCTTTGTCACTGCTGGATGTTTCAAGCTTCAGGGTCGCATGTGGTGATGAAGTCTCAGGCGAAACGCCCAGCCCGCCCTACGGACACGTCTGCGAGCGTGACAAGGAATTTTTGAGGTAAAGCAAGAGAGAGAGGATGTGAATCAGGGGTTTGATCGAGGGAGCGGAAGGACGGCGGAGGCCTAGGGGGCGGAAACACGGTGGAGGATCAGGATAAGGAAGGGAGGAAGGGGATGAAGGAGCAGCAGGATGGAGGAGGGCATGAGGAGGGCGAGGTGGAGCGGCAGCGACGCGAGAGAAGGAGGAGGAGCCAGCGGCGGCAGTGTCGCCTCGAGCAAACCAGTCGGAGCCGGCCTGCCGCTCGTGCTCTGGAGGGCCCGCGTCGGCACGAGCGTGTCCCAGAAGCGAAGCGCAGTCTCCCGGAAGGTTGCTGGACGCCGTGTGTTTTGTTCCTTCTCTCCCTCTTCCCCGGCCCCCTCCTGTTCCCCCCCCCCGCCCTCCGCTCTCCCTCTCCATCCCCCTCCCCATCTACCCCACCTCCCCTCCCCATCCCCGTCCCGTCCCTCCGCCTCTCTCCTCGCCCTCCTTGCTTTGGGACGGAGGGGAAGGTCAGCAGTTGCAGCATCCGCCACCTCTCTCAAGGGGTGGGGAGAGGGGGATGAGGAGCAGGAGCAGAAGGAGGGATGCTGATGATGCTAATGCTGATGATCATGCTGCTGTTTATGATGATTATGATGATATCGATGATGATGATGATGATGATGATGATGATGATGATGATGATGATGATGATGATCATCATCATGGTCATGATGATGATGGGGACGAGGGTGAGGATGTGATCACGCTGATGCTGATGATGCTGGTGATGATGACGATGATGATGATGATGATGATGATGACGATGATGATGGTGGTGGTGGTGGTGGTGATAATGATGCTGATGATGCTGGTGACAGTGATGCCGCTGCTGATGCTGCTGATGCTGCTTATGCTGATGATTACGATGACCGTGACGATGACGATGCTGTTGATGATGAGGATGAGGACGAGGATGAAGATGATGCTAATGATGATGCTGCTGATGGTTATTATGATGATTGTGATGGTTATGAAGATGATGATGATGATGCTGATGATGAGGAGGAGGAAGAGGAGGATGGTGTTGATGATGATGATCACTATAATAATGAGTATGACGCTGATGCTGATGATGGGAATGATGATGAGTATGATGCTGATGATGATGATCATGATGGTGATGATAGTGATGGTGGTGGTGATGATGATGATCGTAATTGTGATGATGATGGTGATGCTGATGCTGATGATGCTGATGGCGATGATAATGATGATGCTGATGCTTTTGGTAATGATGCTGATGATGCTGGTGATGATGATCATGATGATGATGATGATGCTGATTATGATGATGGTGCTGATGATGATGTTGATGATACTGCTGCCGATAATGATGGGTGGTGGTGGTGAGATGATGATGATGATGATGATGATGATGGTGATGATGATGCTGATGATGCTGGTGATGATGGTGATGATGGTGATGATGATGATGCTGATGATGATGATGATGATGATGATGATGATGATGATGATGATGATGCTGATGATGATGATGATGATGATGATGGTGAGGTCGAGGAAGCGAAGGAAGCGGAGGAGGCGGAGGCCCTACCCCTCTACGAGCGCCGGCCTCGACGCCCCCCCCCTCCCCGAGGACCCCTGGAACGCCTCCCACGTGCCGGGGCCTGGCAGCTATGGGGAGCCCAAGGCGAGCGCCATCGCCTCGCCCAGGAAGAGCGACTGGGACAAGGACCAGCCCTGTGGAGGAGGAGGAGGAGGAGGAGGAGGAGGAGGAGGAGGAGGAGGAGAAGGAGGAGGAGGAGGAGGAGGAGGAGGAGAGGAGGAGGAGAAGGAGAGGAGTAGGATGAGGAGGAGAAGGAAGGAGGGGAGGAGGAGGAGGAGGAGGAGGAGGAGGAGGAGGAGGAGGAGGAGGAGAAAGAGGAAAGGGGGAGGAGGAGGCGGAGGAGGAGGAGGAGTATTAGGAGGAGTGGCAATAGGAGCATCATGCAGGAGCTGGAGCAGGAGCTATCCCCAGCAATCAGATCGGTGAAGACTCCTTTGCCTAGGTGCATACATGCGACAGTTGCGGCCGTATCTGGCTCCAGAGCGAGGCGAAGGGCCGCATGGCCTCATGGCGGACACGGCGCTTGGGGCAGCCTGGGCCTCGCTGCGAGCTCGCGTCCCGCATCGTAGCAGCAGGCCTGAGGCCGAGGCCCAGGAAGAAAGGCAGGCTTGCGGCAGTTGGAGCCGAGGTCGCCCTTGACGGTGGCGTGCGGTTCGCGGCTGCGGCGCGGCAGGCATGCGAGGTTGGCCCGTAGTCTGTGGGCGCAAGGGTGTCGCAGCCAGGCGCCCTGTAGGCGGTGCCGCAGCCGTCCTTGCCCTCCGCCCCGCACGGCAATGACCCAGCCCGCCCGACAGGGCGACTCGCGAGCAGGACTGTCCGTCACCTGGATGCGCTCGCCGCGGCGAGGCTCTGAGCGGGGCCTGGACTCAAGAGCGGCAAGGTGGCATGCTATCTGCAGGCGGCCCCGACGCCGGCGCGACCTGGATGCAGCTCCCAAGCTTACCAGGGCGATTTTTTCCTGCTCGCTACTTCTGGTCTGCCACACTTCGCCGCATGCCGCGGTGCGCCGGGGATGGTGGCCGCGAGGCGTGAGGGCGAGTGCTGGGCCCGTCCCTGCGCCATCCGCAGCTCACCAAGCATGGGCCTACCCGCATGCGCCCACACCGGGTTATGGCAGCTGGGCTCACCAGGCAGCTCTGATCTGCACGAACGAGATGGGCACTGAAAGAATGGGTACAATGCCCAACAGCAGTTCCTGTTCATTTTGAACAGGACTCGCTGTCCGCGCCGCGGCGGCCTGTGTCCACTTGAGACAGAAGGCCGCCTGCCCAACAGCGGCCGCTGTTGGTTCGGGACAACATTTGTTGTTGGGCATTGTACCCATTCTTTCGGTACCCATTTCGGGTGTCCAAATCTGAGCGTGCTGCGCTGAAGTCGATCGATCTCGGGCGTACCGTGCCGGAGCTCGTGCGGTGCAGCAGGGACGCGGCCGTGCAGGAGGCCATCATGCATTTGGTGGTCAGTTTCCCCGGCGCCGTGCCGCCACCCTGGAGGTCTCAATCGGTTGCCCACAGGTTGGCCGCTGTTTGCACGCGGGCGAGTGCCCGGGCGAGGCCGCGTCTGCGGCGGCACAAGACAGCCGGGCGAGACAAGGTTGTGATGTCCTCGTCGTGGCGTTGGAGTCGCACGGGTGGATGTCGTTGCGTGATTTCCGACCCCGGACCAATTCATTGGGTCGAAGGTCGCCGCGGCGATCGCGGCGGCCACAAGACGGGGCAAGTTTTTGCTCCACAGAGCGGCATGCCCCTTCCCAGCCGCCACCCTGCTCGTCAAAGTAGACGTGGCTCATCATCAATATGATAGCGACAGACAGTTGCCAATGTATGTCCAACATGTGCAGTCATGTTTTTTTTTGGCAAGGGCCGAATCGGCACGCAAACGGGACGGGCATCGAGAGCCTGCGCCCTCTGGACCCGCTCGCGGTGCACGCCGGGTGTTGTATGCACGATGCGCGGGCGGCGCCTCGGTTCTTGCCGAATTGGCGCGCCGCGGTGGACCGCCTCGTCCACATCTCCGCCCCCGATGTTGACCTCCTCGCGTGTTGGGCCACGACCCCACGGTTGCCGAGGCGTGCGTGGCTTGGGGCCGAGTGACTGGCGCGCGGGCAGCTGCATTCAGGAACATGTTCGCGCGTTGGGGCTGACTTGTGCGGATCGTTCGTCGAGGGCAGCAGGACCATTTAGCAGCAGGGGAAAGAACAGTAGGAGCAGGAGCAGGAACAGCACAGGAGAGGAACAGGAGCGGAGGGGCACATCAAGGTTTCGGGCGTCTACGTTGTCTCTGGCACCTAGAGTCGTCCAGAGGCATCGCTCGAGAGTCTTCTGTGGACCCCCGGAGACGTCAGGAGATTTCTAGATCCCCAGAATCCCGGCGTCACAGTGAAACGAAACAAACGGCGGCACTTGTTGTAACCAGGTTCTCGGAGCCCGCCCGCCCGCTTCGGGCTGCGGGGCCGTTCGGCCTCGGATGAAATAGCGGCTCTGGGGTGGGGTCACGAGGTCCTTGGGCCTTTCTGGGGCCCGTGCCGCGAGAACGTAAGGACGTCGGATGGCGGAGGAGCGGGTGGGGGGGCGGGCAGGGGGGAGTTGTTCTCCCCCTCCCTCCTGTTTCCTCTCCCCACCCCATTACTCCTCATCCGTCCCCCCCCCCCTCCCCCTGGCTGCCCAAGGCATACCCTCCAACCTGCGCATTATCTACTTAATCCCCGCGCCCTCTTCCATCTCGCAGGTCCCAGCAGGGGGGCACCCGTGACCTTTCTCGGTGCGGGCGTCCTGGGGCGCACTCGCCCGTCGGGGCCCATGCCTCCTGCTCCTCGTCCTCCTCCTCCTCCTCCTCCTCCTTCTCCTCCTCCCCATCACCTTCCTCCAACTTCTCCTCCTCCTCCTCCTCCTCCTCCTACTCTTCCTCGTCCTCCTCCTCCTCCTGCTTCTCCTCCTGCTCACCCTCCTCCTCCTCCCTCCCTTTTCCCCCTCTTGGCGAATACGTCGTGTCGGTGCGATGCGCTTCGTCTTCTGGTAGGTCGACGAGGGCCGCCGTCCGGGCGTGCACACCCTCTACGACTACGACCAAAACGTCCGGAGGCGTCAACCGCGCCCCTGGCCCATGGCCCAGGGACCGTCGAGTGATGCCGCCCCGCTCGCAATACCCATGCACGTCCCACTTCTTCCCTCCATCATGGCCCGCGCCTTGGCATGAGCATCTGAAGACCAACGCGCGCCTGGCAACTTATGCTTGGTGACCGTCCAGATCTTGCCAGGCATGCGGGTTCACCGCGCTACCCCCCAAGGTATAGCTGGGTTGGGCCCGACCCAACAAAAGCCCGGAACCAGGACAAAAGCACGAGCACCCAGGGCACAACGTGCACAGCGGACCGGAGGTCTACCCGCTGCGCTCTGCATGGGTTTGCCGCGCCGGCTCTCTCGCAGAACACAAATACCGGTTAATTGACTCCGCCCCCCAGAGCCGCCCCGTTGCCCCTCGACCTGGCCGGGCGGCCTGGACATCCATGGGTCGACGAAAACAAATGCCCGTTCTTGGGGTAGCGCAGAAGTCCCTGTCCGGCGCTGTAGAGGGGCTCCTCGGGATCCTCGGTGTCATCCTCGGGCTGGGTGTCGCAGGAGGCTTCCGACTCATCGTAGTAGCCGTAGTTGTCCGCATTTTCGTCTTCGTCATCGTCCTGGTCCCAGTCGGCATTGATTCTGCCACGATCCCGGTGACGGTGATCCTTGCTTTGCTTCTTGTCACGATTTGTCAGCTCGTCGTCTGGCCAATATACTCGCAATTGCCCTCCGATGCTGTCATAGTCGAAGTTATCCTTCACCGCGCTGATCACTGCTGATCGCTCGGTCGGGGACAATCCGGATCTCTGCAGCAGCAGCCATCCGCGAAGCTGGTCGAGAGGAATCGCCTGATTGAGATCGGTTCCGACATCAGGATACTTTGGGATCTCCTCGAGACCAGTCTCAATAGAGTCCCAGAACTTGAAGTTTAACTCCTTGGCCTTCTCTGCAGCGTCCTCGGGGCCTTCCAACTCGATCTTCTAGAGGAACATGTTCAGCTCGGATTAGAGTTAGTTCTAATCCTTGGCCCGTTGGGAGAGACGCTGCTGTGTCTGCTTCTTGAAATATTCGGTGTCGAATCCTTTGACCACGTCGCGATAAGCTTCGTCGTCACGGCTGATGCAATTCGGCATCGGCTCTTCAGTTTCGCGTCGCAGATTGAAGATCAATTTGGCCAAGTTCTTACCCGCGTCCTGGACGGGCTGGGCTCCGAGCTTGGCACGAATGTGTCTGAGCAGCTCCGTGGTTCCATCGTCTCTCTCGATGCGGTCCCAGTCCAGGTCCTCGGCGGCCTGTCGAGCTCGTCCATAGAGGCGTCTCCACAGTCTTGGGCCGCATACATACCGCTCGTCACGACGCGTCCCTCTGATGTAAGCCTTGACGTCTTTCTCGTAGTCATCTACCGTTGTGATTTCTCCATTCCACTTAGGTACTATGTCATCTCCATTGTTGTTCTTCGCCATGGCTTGTAGAATACTGTGATCCGTGACTCTGTCGTCCGTGGAGCTCAACTGCTCCGCTACCATGCAATGGTGCCGCTGAGAGCCTCTGCCTTGGTATGAGTCCTGATGAGTACTTCTCTCCCGTCTTCTCAGATGTCGTGCTGCGTACCTCGATATTAATATACAAGGGATCGGGCAGTGGGGAGTGCGATGCTGATCACACACTGGTCCTGGAAGTCAGCTGACTTTCAATTGCGGGCCAGCTCACAACACTGCGCCTGTCGGGCACACACCAGAAGTCCAACGACACTATGTCGCTACAAAGGCTTGAGCCAAGACGGTTTCGGTAGAAACGGCTTGGGGAACATGCGAAATATATTACGAGGGCTCTCGAGGAGACCACTCAGCATGGCTAGGCTGCAAATACAGGGTTGGAAACACGATGCGCCGTAAAACGCAGACTTACATAAAAGGGGACCTCCAGTGGAGTCCGAGTGTACACATTCGCTCCCACTCGGCCTCTAGAGGCCATCTGTCGTAGGTAGGCTCTAGTCAGGCAGGCCCTGGGTTGTGAATTGCACCCTCTGGGTCCATGTCGATCCGAACGATCCGATTCGAGATCGTT